TGAGCTACCGTGCTATATTTAAATTTAAATTTGCACTGCAAAACACATAAATATATAAATGTTGGCTGCTGATTTATCAAAAAGTTGAGGATGTAATCATATTGGGAAAATGAGAAAAAGGAAAGAGAAGGGATAAGTGAGAAGGTTAAACCTTCAACCATCAAAACAATAATGTGAAGACAAAAGAGATCTAAAATCTAGAAATAAAAAGTAACAGTATAAGCACCTTAGTTAGAAATATGGAGATAAATGCCAGAAGAAACAGCTAAGAATTGGAAGTGATTTTCTCCGGGGGACAAAACTGAGGCCTCAGGGAAATGGTAAGGAACATCTGTTTTCATTGTCTTTTAGCTCTGGCTTATATTTGAACTATGTATATGAATTTTTTTATTAAAGATAAAAAGTGATTAATGATAAATGGGAAGTGCCAGACTGGAGGCAGGAAATGTTGAGTGTTCTCTCAATAGCTCACCTGGGCATGGAAGGAGACTGGGCAGTAGCTATAGAGGACTGCATAGATGAAGGAGGAATTTTGCTAAAATGAGAGAGGTCAGAGGATAGCAAGTGAAAACGAGAAGTGGAAAGACCAGAGAACAAAGAAATAACCAACGATGAGACCCTAAAGGAGAGAGAAAGGAAACATTATCTAGGTTGGGGAAATTTTGGAATCATATCTTCCTATTTCTTGGGAAATCCTCTCTATGCCCATCTCTTCATTACTCATTCTCTCTCTCTGCCTCCAGCCTCCAGTATAAATGTGCTCTTCATATCTATAACCCTGTGTTTTTCCCAACGAGGAAAGTCTCACCCTTTCCCCAGTATTCTGAATCTGGGGAATGAGAAATTTAAATATTTTTACATTTCATATTCTTAAACTTGTTTTCATGTCTCCGAAATTATACTCTTCCCACACTACACATGAAAGCTGTTTTTCACTTCTTTCTTGAAGACATTTGAGTAAGAGCTCTGGGTACACCCTTAATGAATACCCTAAAATCTCTAGAGAGAGCACGATTGCCGCCCATCAACCAGTCCTCACTGGAAATACAATTGAAACACCAGTAGAAACTGAATAACTTAAGCAGATGACCTAGATATATAGCTCACTTGCAAAAAAAATAATAAACACTCTTGGGGCTATGTCCCATATCGAAACATTTCTGGAATCGTGCATGTAAGGTGGACACCACCATAGTGTGCTGAAATAGTCAGCACATTACAATTATTCTCAGGCAGTGAAGACCAGGGTCTCCTCTGTAGCTGTGTAGGTGGTGTCCTGCACATCCCTGGAGGGTACCAATGCACTGAAGTCTGTGGAAATGACCCACTCTTCCCACCCCCAAGTCACCCACCATCCCAAGATTTCAGGGTGGGGCCTGAGCAACAGCTGTACACATCAGCCACAGTGAGACCCCTTTTACTTTACTATGTGGTACGTTTCAGGACAGAGAAAATATTGCAAACTTTTAATCCCATTCACCCCTACAAAAGCACATTAAATTGCATCTTAAAAGTACTGTCTTCACAAATGGAAGTTGGATTTGTAATACATTTAGTCCTCCACCTCCTATCCCCAGTGGATTTTATTTCTAATGTGTGGCTTAAAGCAAAGCTATCCAATAAATATAGAGTGGGCTCTAAAATTACAAAGAAAAACTGTCATGGTGGTTGTTCTTTATCATTTCTGAAAAGCAAATCTGTGTTGTTCTGCCAAGTTTTTTTAGCAGTTGTACTTTGTGGGTGGCTCTATTCCAATATCTAGATGTATAAACATCCTGTACACGCACTGTTAAGCCTTCAGAGCACTCTCCTGTAGATGGTATGGACTTCCTGGAAGAAACACCATAAGCATGATGTGAGAAGGTAAAAGCAAAAACAGCAGCAAGTGGCAATAAGATTATGATAAAAGTCACTGAAGAATGGCAGGTGGAGTCAAAAGGAATGTGGTGTTTTGTTCTTCTGACACCCTTATTTGCTCAAATACAGTATGTTATGGTACAGTAACACTAAATACTTCACAAATGTCAGGTACACATTAGTAAAAACAGTGAATGTCTTCATTTTTGAAAGGGTTGAATGTTCACTTTATGAAAGAGGAAAAATCTTTAAAAAAAATGTAGTCAGTATTCCAAATGGCAATCTCTCTTGTTCAAATTTATCCAAAATCATAAAGCGTTCTTTCTCAGTCTCTCTCTCTCTCTCCTTTGACCTTGAAATCCCATTACTATGGCAGGTCTTTAACATGGCTGCTCAATTTTCTTTTTTTTCCTATTTTATTTTTTGAGACAGAGTCTCGCTCTGTCGCCCAGGCTGGAGTGCAGTGGCATCATCTTGGCTCCCAGCAACCTCTGCCTCCCAGGATCAAGTAATTCTCCTGCCTCAGCCTCCTGAGTAGCTGGGATTACAGGCGCCCACCACCACACTTGGCTAATTTTTGTATTTTTAGTAGAGATGGGGTTTTGCCATGTTGGCCAGGCTGGTCTCGAACTCCTGGCCTCAAGTGATCCACCCACCTCAGCCTCCCAAAGTGCTGGGATTACAGGTGTGAACCACCATGCCTGGCTACTCAACATTTTGTAATACAATGTTGAGAACTGATGAGCAGTAGGCAACAGCGATCTGATTAAAGTGAATGTGAATACTATGAGGCATCTACATCTACCACCACTATACACAATTCAAGCCCAAGTTCTGCAAGCGATAGAAAATCTGGTGTGGAAAGGAACTCAGAGAAGAGCTTCATTATCATGACACATGTTGAATCATGAGATAAAAATCTAATCATACATCTTTTTTTATAAAGAATTACGCTTTTTCCCAAATATCAAGAACAGGTGCTATCCATATAATTTTGGAACACTCACATACAAAAATGGAAAACTAAAAATCTGTGACATTTTGCTATTGTATTTTTGTAAAGTTCACTCAGTTGGCTCAAAACTGTCAGCAAAGGTGCAGCCTGCATGAGATCTTGTGTGCTAAGCTGTAGGTTACTAGCCTTGAACTCATTTGTGGTTATGTGGCTATGAAGCACAAAGCCCACCTTAACATGGTTAATCTACAAATACACCTGGCATTTTGCATTCACACTCTGCTTCATGCTTATTAAAACATGCCTAAAAATGAAAGAAACTGATTCAAACAAGAGTAAAACTGAGAGAAATAATCCACTTCTCCACACCACACACACGCACATACACACCCAAATCATGAACTGGTTTTACACTTGCAAATCTATACTTAATTGAGAAAAATATTTGAATTCAATTAAGATATGTATGATGTCATTTTTCCCTTGGCATTAATGTATCAGAATTTACTTTCTGCTAGTTTCTATCCATCACAATCACTTTTGAGCTATAAAAGGCCATTTGGCAGCTCTTTTCAAACTATTCCACAATTTAAATCAATTGCACACTTGAATAGAGCACAAGTCTGACATTAATGATTTTAAAATTATTGCCTAAGAAATTGTGGGAATCTTATGGAGGGGCTAAAACTTCTACAGTACACACAGACACACACAAATAAGTAAAACTCTGTTCTTAGGATTCCATATTTCATTTCCATTTTATTACATATTCATATTATTTCCTGAAATCATCTTAGAACCTTTTGTTTTTGCAAAATTTTAGAGGTCCAGGCCCTGTGATAGCTATGTGATGTTTTTTTCCAGCACATAAAGCAAATTCATGATGTGAAAGAGGCAAATGACAATTGTTAAAGTATGTCTTATTTCATAATAGAATTTTTTTTAATAAAAAATTATTGTGGGACAAGGTACATTAAATTTGGCTTGCAATTAGGAAATATGGGAGCCAGCCTTGAAGAGCATGTGGCTGAGTCCCCACATCTAACTGATGAGGAAACAGGCTCAGAGGGGTCTACTGATGGGTCCACTTGCTAGAAGCAAAACTGGAACTAGAAACCGCAGGAACTAGCCCTGGCTTCTAGGCAGCAAGCAATAGTTTTGCTAATTTTGTTCCCCAGCATCAAAGCAAATGCACAAAATAGGAAAGACACATGGTTATTAGTTGGTTATTTTATAAACACAATATTTAAAACTTAAATTAGTACATGTAAAGAACTGGCACAAACAGATGAAGGTTCACTTTCACGGCAGCAGTAGCATCTGCACAACATACCCCCTTAGCCACTGCCCTCAGCCCTTCCCCCCTCCGAGAGAGGTGGTGCTGCTGGCTGCAGATTTCTTCAGCTCTATTTTCATAGACTGAGTCTCAGCTCGAGGCTCGAATTTGGTCAGATTTCCTGCTCCTGGGGCTGCCACTACTGGCTTTCCTGCTTTCATACCTTTTGACATAGGAATGCGGGTGGGTGTAGGCCGCTGGGATGACCCGTCTTGTCCTGACTGTAAGAGAGAAAATACGTAGATACAAAGGAGATGTTGGTGAGTTTCCTCTGGATATGCCATCAATCTGAACATTAGTGGGACTCTTGCCACACAGGAACACCCACAGATGACCCTTCCCCAGATAAAATAATTGTGAGAAACTTGGAGTTGGTATCTAATCCACTCTGATTATCTCCCCTTCCCTTCTCTCAAAACAACTTTGCTTGAAACTTCCTTCTCTTCTGAAGCACTAACTCACCTCCTCTGCCCTTACTGAAGATGGCGTTAACTCCAGTTTCACAGAGGAAATATAGACCACCAGGCAAAAACTCAGGCAACTTTACTCCTACTGCTCCCTAAATTACCTCTACACTCCCTCCTTTCTTCCATTTCAGATGAAGCTACTCTCTTTTCACCTCCTAAAGACCTCAAAATCTTCACATGTTATTGTCGCTGCTGACCACATCCTCCTTTTTAAAGTGCTGTGATTTCTTAGGACAGTCTCATCAATTCACCTCTCATATCTGATGACTCCTTTTCAATCTCTTGCTGGCTCCTTGTTCTCTACTTTGCCTGCCTTCTAAATGTGTCACCATGTTCCATTCTCAGCCTCCTTTTAATGTTTAACATTCACCCTGAGAATTGCCTTAGTTATTACCTCATGTGTTCAAACCCTGGGACCCCTAGGCTTCGATGCCCTCTAGAAATGCAGATCCTTATTCCCAGCTACTCACTGGACATTTCTGATGTTCTCCAGACATCTCAAATATAACATGCCCCAAACATTATTTATCCTCTCTCCTAAACAGCTAGTCCCCCTAAAGTTTCTCATCTTATTCTCCCAGACAGCCAAATCATAAACCCAAGAGCCACACTCTCTACTCAATTTGTCATGAAATAGTTTTGATCATCTTCACTATATCTCTGTCCTCATTTTCACTATCTTAGTTCAAGCCTGCTCCATCATTAAGATAGAGAATTGCAACAGCATCCCTGTCCCTCCAAGTTATCCTTTAAACTGTTTTCCACACACATCTTTCTAAAACACAAACAATACGTTTTTCTCATGATCATTACCCTTTCAGTGGTTCCCTAATATCAATTTCATAATAAGACATGTATATGCCTCCCTTCAATATCCAACCCCAGTTTGCTTCCCTATTTTCTGCCCTTCCATTTTTTGCCCCATGCACAACTGGTAGCAGCACAATGGGATGCTCACAATTCCCCAAGCATGCCAGGCTCCTTCCCACTGTCGTGCCTTTGCACATGCTGTTCTGTCTACATACTCCTTCCCTTTTCCTTCTTGAAAATCCCTCTTTAACTGTGAAACCTCCACTTCTGTGAAGCCTTCTCCGTTGACTCCTGTGTACATATCTCTATCATAGAACCACTAAGTAGGTTCCAAACCTGTCTATTCCACTAAGTCAAGAACTTCTACAGTCTTCCTGGCATCCCAGCACCTAGCCTATGCCTAAAGTATAGTTGACACTCAACAAATGTTGACTGAATAAATGTACAAATGAACTACTCTCACTGTTCAAATTCTAAGAAGAGTATTCCAAACCTTTTGTTGTCCTTGATTTTATGAGATCTGATATACTTAAAATAGGTGGACCATTGAGAACTTAGAAATCTTAGACAGTTGCTTTGAAATGCCACTCATGTGTGAGGTTTAATCAGTAGTCAAAAATGTCGATACAGAGGGTAGGGCTACCTTGATCTGACCCTTAAAAATGGTAAGAAAATGTTATGGCAGAAAATGTGCTCTAAGTTACAATGATTTATACCTCAAATATCTTTTTATAAAATGCAGCAGAAAGAAGCAAGACCCTACACAACCAAGCTGTGCTCCACGTTACCTAAAAAGCAGTATTGGATCACCTGAGGACAGTGAATAATTCTGAATCCTATTTGGCTGATGAGGAGCCAACCAGTAAAAGCTTTACTGGCAAAGCAATTAGTAATTCACACTTTGGAGCCTGCCTTGAGTCTATGTTTGTGCATAGAAAATTAAAGTAAATCATACTTTAATTGAAGTATTAAAGGAAAATAAGCCACAGTTTCTGTTTAAATTATGAGCTTCCTGTCTTTCTTAGGAGATTTCAATTTATGCTGTAGAACTTGTTCAGAGTCTAGAAATCATGATTTCTAGTTTATTAGCTTAAGTTAACATCTAAACAGTACAAGCTCTTCTATAATTACATTTGCCAGGTTGCCACCAATAAATGAAGACAATCACTGGAAGTATTTTGAAAAATATAATTTATAATTTATTTATTTATTTACTTTTTTGAGACAGGGTCTCACTCTGTCACCCAGGCTGCAGTGCAGTGGCATGATCCTGGCTCACTGCAACCTCCATCTCCTGGGTTCAAGTGATTCTTGTGCCTCAGCCTCCAGAGTAGCTGGGATTACAGATGTGTGCCACCACGCCCAGCTACTTTTTTATTTTTTTTTTCCTTTGTATTTTTAATAGAGAAGATGTTTTGCCCTGTTGGCCAGGCTGGTAGAATTTATTTTTAAGTTCCGGCTTTTGTGCTTTGCACATGCTTTTCAATAACCATTCATTTAGTCTTCCAGCTAGTTTTGTTTGTTTGTTTGTGATGGAGTCTTGCTCTGTCACCCAGGCTGCAGTGCAATGGTGCAATCTCGGCTCACCACAACCTCCGCCTCCCAGGCTCAAGCCATTCTCCTGCCTCAGCCTCCCGAGTAGCTGGGATTACAGGTATCCGCCACCACGCTGGGCTAATTTTTGTATTTTTAGTACAGATGGGGTTTCACCATATTGGCCAGGCTGGTCTTGAACTCCGACCTCAGGTAATCCACCTGCCTCAGCCTCCCAAAGTGCTGGGATTACTGGCATGAGCCACTGCACCCAACCTCAGCTATTTATTAAATAAATATTTATGAAGCACCTGCTCTCTGCAAGATATGATTAAATAAAATACAGTTTTTATACATGTAAACGCACTTCTCTTTTACTTTTAAAAAACTTTTTGATATTAAAATCTTCTCATCTTATTTTGGAATAAAATATGCCTGTGACCATATATAACCACATATTGAATACTTTAATTTATAGAAACATAACCTAGGAACAATTTTAATTCTTCTTCCATATAGACCATTTTCCTCATCTCCATTTTAAAAACTATCTTAAACATTAAAATCAAATGTTAAACCTTCTGATTACTATATGCTACCATTTCAAAGAGGCTACCTTTGCAAGTGTTTTATGGCACTGTCCATAATTTACATGAATAGGCGAAGTTTTCCCTCAAAGTTGGCCTAATTTATTAAACTATTAGGTCACTTTTTACATTCAGTTCTGTGTGGATAGTCCTCTGTGAAGCATCTGGATTCAGGCAGCATGAGAAGCATGTGGCTGGGTTTTACTGCGGGTGCTGGGGTAGTCTCACTACTCACATCTCCCTCCCTCCACGGGCCTGCCCTTTGGAACCTCTTCTACTCACCACTGACTGGGTTCCTCGAGCAGATGACGTTGTGACTGGTGTTATGGTGATAGTGCTCGTCACCTTGCTCGCACCAGGCCGTGAGGAGAGGTGGTTCCTGGGAGAGCGAAGGACAGTGCCGGTGGAAACCTCCTTTTCGGCTGTCACGTTTACTGGTCGGACAGTAATAACTGGACTGACTCCTTCACCTGAAGTCCCAGGGGACCGTTTAAACTGAGACCCTAAGTGAATGTGAATTTTATTGTCCTCTGTGGTTATGATATTGGCATTGGAGTTGTATTTCCGTACTGGAGTTGGAACAGTCTGTTTTTCTGGGGTGACTTTGAGGATTGTCCGTCCCATGGGCATTTCCTGGGATTCGGGAGAAACTGCAATCTCAGCTGGTGCTGCTGATGTAGACACTGTCATTATCTGAATAGGGGATGTGGGCCTGTCTGCAAATGCACCTCTTCCACTTTCTGGAGTCTTCTCTCTGGAAAATGTAGTAATTGTGACTGGGGACATGGCTCGTTCTGGGCCAAGAGTTGTATCTCCACTTTTTTGTTTTTGAGGCATAACATTTGGTGATGGAATAATGGTTATTCTTGGTTTCTGATTCCCTAAGGTAGGAATGACAGTGGTACTAGAAAAAAATTCTTCAGATGTCGGGCTTGTTATCTCCAAAGTCGCAGTACTGTTCTCGTGGTCTGGTGTCACTCGAATATGCAGGGGCTGGCCCTGCTTTGGTGAAAGGACTACCTCTCCTGGGTGCCCTGGATTGGAATTTGTTCGGGGCCCTTTCTCCTGAGTGATTGAGGGGCCATTTTCCCTCTTTCTCATCCATGGAATCCAAGACTTTCTCATAGTGAGCTCATTTGCTGCTGGAGGATACCTGTCTAGAACAGAGGATCTTTCCATGGGTTTCTTCAATCCCACTTGCCGAAGATTACTCATAATATGATTTTCTTCCTGGAAGGATTTCCGTATGAATACAGCTGGTGTTTCTTCCTCTGTTGCTTCACTGCTGACTGCATCAGTCTGGACTCCAGTTGATGTCACAGGAACATCCACCATTCTTCTTCCATTCACACTGGGCCTAAGAGCTCTGCTGTAGCGCTTGGAAAGCTCCAACTCTTTAGTCAGATTGAGGACCTCCTGCCCCATGTTTTTGTTCTTATTTTCTTCTTCCATAAATCTTTGTTGAAGTACAGAATAATCTACCTGGAGCTGAGAAAGCTGATCTTCTTTGTTCATTAATTCGTGAATCTTCTCTTTAAGAGCTTGTACTTCAGCTTTTAAGTCTCGACTTTTAGCTTCTTCCAACCGAAATCTGTGTCTCAGTTCAGCTTCCTGGCTCACAACCTCACCCTTCTCGATTGCTTTATTCTTGGCAATTTGGTGCTTGATCTCCTCTAGTTGTTGAGAGAGGAAGTTCGCCTTATCCTGCTCAGTTCTAAATTTCTGTTCCAGCTGATCATACTCATCTTCTGTCTTCATCAAATCCCCTTCGACCACTTCCAATTGTTGGAGACGTTTCTTCAGTCTCTCAATTTCAAGTGTTAGTTCCTTAATCTTATTATCATCCGGGCAGGTGAGCTCAGACGCTTTTCGTGACCTTCCTCTTGTTATTTCTCTTTCCACTTCCTCTATACCATCAAGTCTCTTCTTTAGTAAGTCAACACTGCAGCTTAATTCAGAGGATTTTTCTTCTTCACTTTTCAATTTGCCTATCAACTCATCTCTTTCTCTTGTCAAGTTGTATACTTTCTCCTCCATTTCAGATTTTAGTTTTAAAAGCTTCTTACTTTCTTCAATTAGTTTTTCAGTTACATCCATAACTTTTCCTTGTTCCACCTTAAAATTTTTATTGAGTCCATCCACTTTTCTCTCTTCTTGCTTTATTTTTTCCATCATATTTTTCCTTTCATCAACCAGCATCACGGTAAATGACTTCAACTTCGTAAGATCATCTTTTAGGCTTAATTCAGCCTTTTCCAATCTACTTTCAGAACATTCCAATTCTTTAACTCGACTCTTGACCACCTCCAATTCATTTAGCAGGTCTTTGGTTAAGTTCTTTTCTTTCTCCAGATTTAAATGTAGCTGGGTGCACTCAGATTTACTCTTGCTGAATGCCTCTTCCAATTTCTCCAGTTCAGACATTCTCTTCTGTAGCTTCTCAACTTCAAGTTTGAGCTCCTTACTATGGTGTTCTTCCTCTTGCAACTTCTTCCTCAGTTCCCTACACTGGGATTCAGTTTTAGTGATCTCCTCATCTTTACCTTCCATTTCAAGCACACGCTTTCGAAGATTTTCCACTTCTGCCATGAGGCTAGAATTTCCACATTCTCCTTTGGCAATTTTATCTCTTAATTCCTGAAGTTCTTCCTCTGCCTTCTGCAGATTTTTGTTGGTCTCTTCTAGCTCCTCGATTCTTTGGGTTAAGCCAACCAGTTTGAGTCTAAGTTGCCTATTGTGAGACTCTTGATTAGCCAGTTTAGCATTCATCTCTTCATGCTCTTGAGAAAACCTTGAAGCCTTGTGTTCAAAGTCTACTTCTAACTTGAGCAATTTCTGTCTGTCTTCTTTGGATTTGGAAGTAATGGCTTTGAGCTTTTCTTCTTCTTCCCTCAGCTTCTGAGTAAGATCCTGTACTTTCTGGCTTTGCAGGCCAAGTTGTTCAATGTGCATTTGTCTTTCATCCACCAGCATGAGTGCAAAGGACTTGAGTTTGACAAGTTCATCTCTTAGTTTATTGAGCCGTTTAGTATTTTCCTTTTCTTTGCGGGCTTGATAAGCCTTTTCTTGTTCAAGGAGCTTTTTTAACCTAGAAAATAAAATATGCCTATATGTTAAAAGAGTAATCAGCAAACAGATTTAAGCATTGGTATTAAATAAAAAACAAAATCCTACTACAATAAATCCCTTATCAATTGTTATAATATCAAGGTTTAAAAAATAGCCATTAATGAAACTAATGTGAAGTCAAAATATTAGTTACCCTTAGGAGTAGTGGCTAGAAGGGGGCATGAGGAGGGCTTTGAGTGTAACTAGTTTCTTTTTTGTAATTTGCATGCTTGCTATACAGGATTGTTTAGCTTATCTTATGAAATTTCAGTAAGCTGAACACTTCTGAGTATCTTTCTGCATGTGTACTATACTTTAATATAGTGGCCATTAAGTAAAATAATGACTATGTCTTCTGTATCCTTGGTGTTAGTATTTACTTTATTCTCAGAGTAACTCTATGAGATATGTATTGCTACTATCATCACCATGAAAAAACATGAGATACAGGGGAATTATGTAACCTGTCACAGATCCCAGAGTCAGTAAGTGGTAGGCCTGGATTTCAAACTTGGCCAGGAAGCCTCCAAAATTCTTGCTCTCCATCTCTACATCATATGATTTCAGGAGATAAATTTACTTTAAATGATAGTAAAGGTTCAGAAAAGAAGCAGCTTTGGGTTTTCTTATTTTAAACCCTTGACATAAACTATGTAACTGTCTCCTGGAAGGGACAAAGTAGGACTGGCTTTCTGATACAAAAGCTGATTTACAAAAATTGATTTTTAGTTCACACCAGAACTGGCACAGGAGTTCTTTATTTAAACATTTTTTTAAATTCAAGAACTAGGTAGGAAGGAAATCTGTATTACTATCAATACGAAAATGTAGCAGCCACAGGAATTATTATGTTTCACATGTGTGAAATACATTTTCTCTACGGTGTTTATGCGTATCTGTAAAAAGTAGGAATATAAACATGCTGAAGTAACTATTTACCATTCTTGGGTTGGTCAGTTAACTTGTACTAATTATAATAGTTTTTTTATTTACCCATAAAAACAATTAAATTTATAATCATATTTGCCATGTTATTGTAAGAATGCATTTTAGTAATTAATAGGTTTATAAAGGAAGTAAGTTATAAACAACCAATGACATGTACTTATTTAAGTATAATAGATTTTATTTTTTCCAGTGTATTTTGCTCCTTTACTATTCTGACTGATTAATTTCATACTTATGACTAGATTAGCTATTAGCAAAGTAAATAGAATTTAATAATCTCACATTGCATTGTGCAAGAAATATTTGTGTGGTTTTTTAACTTGTCACTGACTGAAAGTTAGTGTATAAGAAATATTTAAACATACATTAGTAAAGCACAACAGAAGCTATGAATAATTAAATACGGTGTGAGATAAGTATTACAGAAATGGCTCTGATCATGTCATTAAGATTTTTTCACCGAATTAACTTTTATAAAGCATGATTGTGTCTTAGCATCTCTAAGCTAATGCATAGCCTCCAAAAATCATTATGACTTTATCCCTAAAATAGGAGGAAAATATGATCTTCAAGTCCTACTGATTTGCACAAGTGATACTGTAACAGCATCACTAAATGTGGTCCTTACATGTAGTAAAGAGCATTTTTATTGACCATGTTCTCTCTTTTACTAAAAATTGAAACAACTGAAATAATGTCATAGAACCATAGATTAGGGAAAACTTTTCAGGATATTTTCAACATAAAATGCCATTTTTAAATTCCTTGCCCTTAACTGGACTGTTAGAGATTAATTTATTGAAAACATCACTGCTTCCAATTCTAAGCTTAACATGTGAAAACTTCTAAAAATATATTTCTAGGAATACTATGCCTCTATACTGTTAGAGGCAGTGGGTTGGAGTGACTACAACATAGGTTTTGGAGTTAGACATAACCAAATCTGAATTCTGACTCTCACTTTCTAACTGTGTAATCTCTGACCAATCACTGAAACTCTCTGATTCTCAATTTTTTCACCAATGGAGGAAAGAGGGAGGGATATTAACCCATTTATGCTGGAGGTTGCAAATTTTTTTGTGTGAAAAATCAGACCTCGGTGATGACCTTGAGCAGCAGGATATAAAAACTCCCACAAGCTTAGCGTTCCAATAATGGAACACTAATACCAACTATATAGAATTGTTCTGAAGATTAATTGAAATAGTAGAAGTAAAGTGACAGATACATAGACTCAATACATGAATGTAATAAAGCATAAAAAGATAAGAATTATAGTATATGCTATTGGCTTCATCTGGAAAGACTGTCAGTGCTTTCTGTGTTTAATCAATAAATATTTTTGTCATTATCCTGTCTTTGATAGTAAAACTTGGGGCACTAATGTTTCAGCCAGAGAAAAGCAGAAGGCATTCCGATCAGTAGGAAATTCCATGAGCTAGACTGTGATCTCGGCAGGAATTTGGCTTCCAGGAAACCACATTTTTCACGTTCTCCTAGCTGTGATTATTTCTGTTTTTCTAATCCCATTAGCTTAGTCTCCCTCCTGTTCTCTTTCACCACATCTTAAACCATGCCCATCTTATAGTTAAAGTGGCTCTAACAGCAATACCAGGCTCATTTTGGTATTATATTTTGTGTGCTCCCAAAACCCAGTTTCCCAGTTGGTACAGCTGAGGGTCAGATCCAGGATCAAGGTAAAGTTGCTCAGCTCATTTTGGAAGGCCTGCCAATAGCCTTCTGTGCAAATAGACCTGCAATCAAACTTCTTACAGGCAAGACGTTGGGGATGGGAATGATGGGACTCAATACCTGACCTCCTTGATAAGTTCATCTCCAGTCAGTCTCTCCTGTTATCTAACATTCCTTGCAAATGCTGTGTCCTCTGCTTAGTATTTCCTCCCTGCTCCTTTTTTTCATTCTGTCACACTCACCTGAATGTTCCTGGCTAGTTTTTCATCCTCTAACTTTCACTTCAATGTCACTTCTTCAAACCCAATTAAGCCAGAACTTCTTATAGACTCCTGTAATATCAATATCCTACAGTCTTTTTTTTTTCTTAGAGACAAGGTCTTGTTCTGTCACCCAAGTTGAAGTGCTGTGGCACGATTATAGTTCACTGCAGCCTCAACCTTTTGTGCTCGAACTATCCTTCGACCTCAGCCTCCCAAATGGCTGGTGGCTGGGATTACAGGCACATAGCACCATGTCTGGCTAAAATTTTTATTTTTTTGTAGAGACAGAGTTGCCCCTATGTCACCTAGGCTGGTCTTGAACTGCTGGGGTCAAGTGATCCTCCTGCCTCAGTCTCCCAAAATGCTGGAATTACAGGTGGGAGCCATCATGCCTGGCCCAGTTTTCTTTTATGACACTTAATCAACTTATATATTTTTTCTTGTATTTCCTTAGAAGCATTCAGAATGTCAACAAAACACCTGCGACTTTTTTCTTTGCAATTACAGAGCGGTATTCAGTTAACAGAACAATTATTTCATATAAGCTGCATCAGAGACAACTGAAGAAGAAAAAACTACCATCCCCATATATAATTAATTTGTGCTGTGCACCAACAAGAATCTGCTTTAAATCCATGCCAATTTACAACCTCCATACTGTCCCAGGCATGGTTAGTGGCTATTGAAAATACTACCAGGACAGGACTATCTAAAAACACACTCTGTAGTGTGTTAACTATACAAAAAGAAAAGACACTGTACAGTTTAAAAACAAATCTTACATGCTTTACATTTCAATTTTTTTGCTTTAAAAGGAGTGAGTTGTGTACGGGGGATTAAATGCTTTATGGATAAGAAAAAAAAAACCGTGCTAGAACCAACTTATTCATCATCATCTTCTTCTTCCTCATCTTCATCTTCTTCACCTTCCTCCTCTTCATCCTCTTCATCTTCCTCCTCTTCCTTCTTTTTCTTGCTGTCTTCAGCCTTGACAACTCCTTTTTTGCTGCATCAGGCTTTCCTTTAGCTCGATATGCAGCAATATCCTTTTCGTATTTTTCCTTCAGCTTCGCAGCCTTCTTTTCTTTTTTTTTTTTTTTGTCAGAAAATATATTTATTATTGATAGTGAGTGAAGTAAAGATGTGAGTATTCAGTATAGAGGTTATATCAGCCAAGGTTGCCTTCATATTGATAAAAATACAGTCTCTCACTTGTAATCATAAACATTATTCCAGTAGAAGAGGTACATTTTCTCTCCGTTTTGTCTTCTTGTCTGTGTAATCACCATAATAAGTTAAAATGAAACAGCTCTTACATAATCAAAGGAGAAAAGAAAGAAAGAGAAAGCCAGCATGTCATAGCCTAGACAATTCCACCCAGCACTGCTGCTCCAGATCTGTGTTTTCTGGCTCTCTCCTCACCCTACTCCAATTAATTTAGCCCCCCACCCCATCCTACTTTGTTAGGGTGGAGATTCACCAAATGATGGGGCTTGCTCTGCAGAAAAACATTTTATGTTCAGTGGAAGTTGAATAGAAAGTACCAAACGGTGGAGAGGGCTGCCCTTCTCTTTTAATCATCATAAGAGGGTTTACTAATACTGAAGTGTGTCCTTTAATGACTGATCCCTGATCAAGGCTTTGGCCCTTCAAATTGCTGCTGTTCAAAATGTGAAATGACTCTGCTGAATCCATTCTTGGTGTCTCTCTTTAGTGGTCTTCTCATTAGTGGTCTTCTCTTCAAATGGGTTATTTTCTTACTAGGAAAAAAAAAATGTTCCATCTCTGGAATTAACGTTGATGGTGTTTTGCTCGTTCTGAAAGTTTTTATCCTCCCTTCTCAAGCATGCTCTGTTTGGCATGATTGACACAGTGCATATACTGGGTGGCCAGAGAGGAGCATTTGAGGGTCTGGTGGATGTTCTCACAGTAACGCTGAAGAATTTTGGCCTGCAGATCAGCACAGACTGGATGAGACTCATACCGCTTGAACTTTGCTTCTACCTCTTCAGCAGCTTTCTGATATTGTTCAGTGGTGACTTTGTAGAACTCTGAGCTCCTCTCCTCCAGTCTAGCC